GAATTACGAGGAACAACATATAACCATAAATGCCTCCTCATACGTCACATCATTAGCATATTGCATAGAAAAACCTTTATAACTTCAAGAAGCCGCACTCAAACTATGGATCATTCGACATCCTACGCCATGTAGAATCAATTCTGATAATATTGTTAGAAGGGTAGGTACTTAAAATAAATGCAAACCATTCTTTATATCTTGACAGAAACAAAAGTAATACTACATTTTAAACTGTTAAAATATAAAATCGAACCTGACAGGTTAATTGGCATTTATTTCTCAGTTCCAATAAGCGCCATTAAAGAAGTACGTGAAGGTAACATGTCCGATGCCTTCAGTCAATGCAACGAGGTGTTCCCAGAGGACCGATGTTTCTCCATCATTCATGGYGACTCGTTCGTCGCACTGGACATTATTTCTTTGTCCAGAGAAGAGAGTATGCACTGGTTGATAGGACTTCGATATCTGATGGCAAAACATCTAGGTATAGTATCCATGATATTATGGTAGTCCAACAATGTTAGAAACTGGGTCAAACGTTTATAACTAGAAGTTTCCATCTCGTATTTGGAAGGCACATGGTTTTTGAGAAGCGAGTAGACTATGGACTCCTGACTGGGGCAACTCAGGTGTTGTGTCTTATGATATGATTTTTACGCGTGTGCATCTTTTCCTCCGATCACTAAATATATACCAATGGACTTAATACCTCTAGTCATGGTATTTTCCCATTTCAGACCACGTGTCATTTCTTGAAAATAAGATTCTTTGTTTGAGTTGTATCCATATTTATGTGTCTTCTCGTGAGCAACTATCAGGCAAAGAAATGATACTCTAGGTAATGACATGTGGTGTGAAAGGGGAAAACAGTGGATTTAATAGGTATGTTTAAAAGACCACTTGGTTRTTAATGAGGGCGTGGAGCGGAGGTGGGGGGGTTGGGGAGAGGATAATCGCCCATGATTACCACTCTAGACAGCCACATTGTCATGACTTGATTCATTCACTGCCTGGTCATATTTATTACACATTATTACAAGCATGATTTCTATMTTTCTTCTTCATTATCACTTCACCATCATCACGGTTCACATTCTACATTTACACAGGATTATGCCCAGGTAAGCAAGTATCATCTAAATAGCTTAGTCTGTCTGTCGGTCAGTCAGTCAGTCAGTCAGTCAGTCAGTCAGTCAGTCAGTCAGTCAGTCAGTCAGTCAGTCAGTCGGTCGGTGGGTCTGTGGTTCAGTTGGTCGGTCGGTCGGTCGGTCGGTCGGTCAGTAGTAATGCTCTAGGAAATTGCATGCAAAAACCATGAAGTGCATTTGTCACCTTTATCCACCACAAAACCTTCCAAGTTGCGCTACTTCAGATTATCCTTTGGGTAAAAAAGCAACAAAAATGCCGCGGTTGACGTCCTAAACCATGGCGGTTAGTTTACTCTTTCTGTGCATAAGGAAGAAATAATTGATATTGTGCCGTTGAATTGTACTACAAACCACGAGCATATTGATGTGGGAGGAAAAACGATACACAATTAATTGCATGATGGTCTAAGGATGACTCCACAAAACTACACCACGTGTTTAGCACCGACAGCAGCTTTACAATTACATCATCGTAGCTTGATTATAGTCATCTGATCTGAAATGTTGTGACTCGTTTTTCAGGCGTGGACGAGCACATGCAAAGACAGATGGCACGTGATCAGTATCCTTGTTCTATTGACTGCTGTAGCATGGCAACATCAGAGTAAGACTGGTAACGATCTCCTGGCGCAAGGGATTGTGGGACGTCAGGTGGTGGAGATTTTTGATCTCATCCTTCTGTTCTCCCCACAATCCTTTGCGATAAAAGTGCAAATGTTTTTCTCAGTTGAAGTTCGTATAAACGAATAAGTCTGAAGCGAGATGACATTTCCCCCCCCCGTCTCTAGACCATAATTCACATTCCTTTTGTTCTTTAATTATGACTATTGTTCCTGTATTCTCTAAGGAATCAAAAATTTTAATATGAAAGAATTTTAACAACTATTATGGTATAGAGTCGGGGGTAAAACTTCATCTCACTTCAGGCTTATTCGTGATATTAGTCGAAAGTGATTCACACAGGTAGCCCATTCTTGGCGGCATCACGTATGGAGGGCTACCTTTGTTCATTAAGCAACATTYTTACCACAGGGTTCCCATCAATATCGTGCATTCCTTAATAAAACAATAGATGGCTTAGAGAGATATTCACAACTGCAGATAAAAGTGGTGATGGTTTTCTTAGCATCGAGGAGGTGTTCTCCTTGATGCATAGAATAAACGTCAAGATTTCCAATAAGAAGCTTCGTGAGACCTTTAAAGCCGCTGACACCAACACCGAGGACTCAGAAGGCTTGTTGGATTTCCAAGAGTTTGCGGCGTTTTACAAGAGTATATCGACAAGACCTGAACTCTATATGCTCTTAATAAAGTAAGTTTTCTAYATTTTCTGATTCGTTTTCCTTGTATTACCGTTATCGATATAGTGGGCTCCCTTTGCCTGGACTACTGCACATGGACTCTATATTTAAGAAGAAACTGGGTTTTTTTCCTATTAAAAACCGAAGGTCTTCCGGGGAAGTTTTCCACGGCTGCGCAGTAAGGTAAATTCACTAGAAGGAACGTCGGGTTGCAATAGAAATGAACGGTTGGACGAGAATTGCTATAGAGCCACTTACAATTGCGCATGCGCTAAATTTGAACGAGTCACTTCCGTGGCTGTAGGCACCGTGCCGTGTCTTGCGTAATAACTTCACAGTCCAAGAAGAACTTGCGCCCAGTGTTGCAATTGTTATTAAATATTATTCATTATTATTAATACCATTTATTATTATTTATAGGTATGGAAATGGGAAGGAAAGTCTTACTGTCGATGAATTGGTGGCTTTTCTTAAAACAGAACAAGGGGTAATAAGAATGATCAGAAACTACTTCAGATTATCAATATATTCCACGATACTCTATTTACTTACACTGACTGAGGGAGAGGGGGATTGCTCTGTCGTGACGTCGTAACACGGTTTGGAGGCCGAAGTATTTAGCTTTTGGTTGTATGAAAAATAATTTATTCTTGTGCTAATTTGAGCTAAAACACTAGACCAAAATGTCAATATTTGAATTTCTGTTTAGTTAGAAGAAGATAAAGATTACTGCAAATCAGTCATAGAAAAACACGAACCAGCAGAAGATAATCGTGTGAATGAAGTTCTAGGRATAGATGGTAAGCATCGTGAATGATGATGATGAGTGATGACGATAATGATGATGATCATGACGGTGACGATAATGATGATGCTGGTGATGGTGATGATGCTGGTGATGTTGATGTTGATGATGCTGCTGCTGCTGMTGATGATGGTGGTGATGATGATTATATTGATGATGATGATGATGGTGGTGGTGATGATGCTGGTGATGTTGATGATGCTGATGCTGATGATGATGATGCTGGTGATGATGATTATATTGATGATGATGATGATGATGATGATGATGTTGTTGAAGATGAATGATGAGGTTGAAGATGAATGATGATGGTGAAGATAAACCGAATTTAACGTATTTCTCACGCATTATTCTTGGTATTTTCTAGGATTTACAAACTTTCTTCTCAGCGCTGACGGAGAGCTTTTTAATCCCAAACACTACACAGTTAACCAGGACATGGCAAAACCTTTGTCTCACTACTTCGTTGCATCATCTCACAATACGTAAGATTGTTGCTTGTCTTTACCCACAAGATAAAGGTCGATTACTTCTTATTGTATTTTTTTCTTGTTTTTTTCCAGTTACTTGCTCGGGGATCAGTTGACGTCCACATCAAGTATGGACATGTATGTCAGAGTACTACAGTCGGGATGTAGATGTTTAGAATGTAAGTGTTTTGCGCATGCGCAACCCTCAAACAACCGCGAACTTAGATTGAATTTATATTTAACATGTTCGGTTTCGTGGAGGGAAGAAAAACAGAGAACCTGTAAAAAAAAMACACGTGATGGCGAGTCCAAGAAACTAACCTGAGACCCGAGTGGTCAAATGACGTAACCGCCAGTTGATTCCCATTAAACCAATGACAAGTCGGTCAAATCCAGCAACGAGGTTGCTATGACGAATGACCACCAATAATATATAATAACCATTAAATAAATAAATTCTAATATTTATCTGTTGTTAAATTTTGCATGTCTAGTGGACTGCTGGGATGGTAAAGACGGTGAGCCCGTGGTGTATCATGGGTACACTTTGACGTCTAAAGTWAAATTTAGATACGTTATCTTGAATATCAACGACTTTGCATTCATCGGCAACAGGTATATAACACTGACGTACCTTGAACACCTGCGACTGTTGTATGCAAGTCCATCTGGGCAGCATAACATGTGTGCGTAACATTTCTGACGCAACGTGTAGAATTAAGATCTACTATTRCAATGTAAAGCGTGTGAAGGAAGTAAGAAACGCRCGCGCGTTTTCTATTTTTTTCAATAATTTGCAATTGTTTATACCTTTGTCCCAACAGGTATCCWGTTATTCTGTCTATTGAGAATCACTGTGGAGTTCAGCAACAGAAATTCATGGCYATTTATATGAAAGAAATATTTAAAGGTGAGTCTTGATTTCCAATACAACATATGCTTCACTAAATCCATTAAATAAAATTGGCCCTCGTACCGTAATCAAAGATACCTCTTTACCTTCGTATGCAAATTGCCCATTTCAAACCACGTGATACTCCCCTGAGAATTGTTCTTTTATGACAAATATGTCATAATATTTACAAATGAAAGAATCAACTCCCAAGAGTAGCATCACGTGGTCTGAAATGTGCACAACAAACAACGAAGCTAAAAAGGTCTATTAAAAAGGTTTCAGCAGGGGCACTGAAAATGATGTATTTTTTTATTCTAGATAAATTAATATACGCGAATGAATATGGGGAAAAAGATCTTCCTTCGCCTCAAGCACTTATGGGGAAAATTTTAATCAAGGTATATCTAGAACTGGTATGAAGCGGTGTACATCAGGGGCGGATCTAGCGGAGGGAGGTGCAGGGGGAGCGCACCCCCCTCCCCCCTAGATCAGTGAATATCTACTACATGATCGGTGTTGAGTTCGTAAGCAAAGGGGTGCACCCCCTTCTAAAACGAAAATCCTAGATGGTGTCCCCCCCCCTCCCTCCCCCCTCTCTCTCTCTCCGTAGAATCGCCCTGGATCAGCCCCCGTATATGTCTTCCAAAATCCACAAGGCTAATTATAAAACGCTTTGCTGTAGTTACTGTTTTGTCTGTGATAATTCATTCGTAAGGATTTCATGTCGTTTTTTTTTTTAAATTCGCAGACGAAAAAACTACCCAAAAGTTTAAGTGAAGATTTAGATGAAGGTGAAGTTACAGAAGAAGACTCGGCCGATGAGCTGGATGACTGTTTTAAGTTTAAATCAGGAGATGTGAGTTACTATTTACTCAGGAAATGACTTTGTTTATAGCAAGACAACCATGGAGCATTCTGGTCTAGCTTGAGTATGAGAAATGAGATAYTGATACCCAAACTAGACCAGAATGCACCACTTTCACTGTATCAAAAAAGTCAAACAAGGTGCATTCTGGTGAACTTGCATGGGTATACGATGTGAGATGCTGGTACCCCAAAATAGACCAGAATGCRCCACTTCCGCCGATCAAAAAAGTCAAACAAGGTGCATTCTGGTGAACTTGCATGGGTATACGATGTGAGATGCTGGTACCCAAACTAGATCAGAATGCACCACTTTCGCTATACCARAAAAAAGTCATGCAATGTGCATTCTGGTTTAGTCTGGGTACTACACTTGATATTTTAACACCCATAATAGACCAGAATGCACCTTGTTTGSTATCTSAGAAAAAGTCCAGCGATGTGCAATTTATGCTTATTYATATTTCTTTTCATGTAAAAACATTGCATCGTTCCATGGTTGCCCTAGAACCACTCTATCGCGAAGGGCTTATTTATTTGACCATTTTCTAATTTGTCTGACAGAACGAGACGGAACAAAAGATGAAAGAAAGAAAGTGTCGTAAAACCCTAGCCTCTCTTAATCGATTACGAATGAACAAAGAAGACGATGAAAGCGATGCTCGAGGGGATTTGAGTTCAGCCATTGTGTCGTCTGTAGCAGATGATGAAAATAGTGAACTAACAGGAAAAAAGAAACAAAATCCTAAGGTGATCAATGACATGGATGAAATGGGATG